ATAAGTGGCCCGAGGTGACCTCTGAAAATGGTTCGCTATTCGCTTGACCCAGAAAACCCTACAAAATCATGCAAATCTAGAGGTTCAAGTCTGCGTGTTCACTTGAACACACGTGAAAGTGCCGAGGCCATCAAAGGTGTGCAGATCCGAAAAGCCACCAGGTAGCTGAAGGATGTCACTTTTCAAAAGCAGTGTGTGTGCCACTCCGTCGCTGCAGTGGTGGAGCTGCTCTGTGTGCCCGGGCCAAACGGTGGGCTGCACACAGGGTCGGGGGCCCAAGAAGAGTGCTGAAAAATGCAGAGAGTCATGCTGAACGTAGGGGTTTAGATGTCGATTCTCTGCTCACTGAGCGTGTGCAGACGAACAAAGCCCCCAAGATGCGGCCTGGAACTTACAGGGTTCGTGGTTGGATTTACCCCTACATGAGCTCTCCCTACCACACGGAGTGATCATCCTGACTGAAGAAGACCAGATTGTTCCCTAAACCAGAAGAGGAGGTTGCACAGAAGAAAAAGCTATCCTAGAAGAAACTGAGGAAACAAAACCTTGTGGGCCCGGGAGTAAATTCTGCATAGAATAAATGCAAAAAAAAAAAAAAAAAATGTTTTCTATTTTGTTCACCAGATTGTACAGCTTTTGCTAAGTTCTTTTTTTTTCTTTTAATTTTATTTGATAGAAAGAGCACAGCAGGGGGAGTGGGAGAGGGAAAAGCAGGCTCCCCACTGAGCAGGGAGCCTGAAGTGGGGCTCGATCCCAGAACCCCGGGATCATGACCTGAGCCGAAGGCAGACGCTTAACCGACTGAGCTGCCCAGGTGCCCTTTTGCTAAGTTCTGAAGTGTTAAGGCACAAAGTACTAGTACTAGCACAAACACTAGTACTCAGTGTTTCTCTCTGCAAAGAGTAAAGCCAAATGATTTACAGAAAGGTGTAGGTAGTTAAGCTGTCCAGGTTCTTGTGGTACCAACTTATAATACGTTCTGGATGCCAGGGGGCAGGGGACCATCTTTCGCAGAGAAACCATAGAGTGTGGAATGAACTCTCGAACAGGTGTGTAACTCATTGGTAAGAGGCTAAGATATAATGGGACAAAGAAAAAGCCACTCCCAGAGGGGAATCAGAATCAGGCCACAGAAGGCCACAGTGTTTATTGTTGGCACAGAGAATGCAGGCGTGCCCTGTGACGCTGTAATTCTGGTATCCCTGGAAATGATGAAATGTCCACATTTCTAGCAGTTGCTGAATCATACTTTTTTCAGCCAATACTTTGAGTTTGCTAAGGTATCACACTTGACAATGGGCCTTGGTTGGCTTAGTAATTCAGAAGGTGCATAAAGCCAGAGGAATTGTACTGAGCAGGACAGGCGAGTTCATATTTCCCTTCCCGTGTGTGAACGTCACTCGTTGCTACCGTCCGTGTGTAACTGTTCCCCCCAGGGGCTGTGTGTCATGGGCACTTAGAGCGACACTTGAGTGGGCTCTCTGCAGTTAGCCGTGGCTTGCGCTCCACTCGTCATTCGGCTGCGTCAGCAAACATCCCCACACTAAGCACAGTATGCATGTGGCCAGTCTTTCACTGGTTATTTTAACGGATATAATTTAGAGGAGCTGTTCCCACTTCTGAATTAATTTTTTTGCCTCGTAGGTGAAATAATTCGCTCAGTTGGGGGGGGCAAAAAAGGACAATGAAGACTGTTGGATTGTTAGATTGTTGCACTTCCAGACCTTTATGATATTTATACCATTATAAATGCCCTGTACTAATCTAGTCTTGCAGCATTTGTTTATATGAGTAGATAGAAAAGAAATGCAGTCAAAATCCCAATCAGTAGGGTGGGAACGTGGCCCGTAATTGTTTGAATCATGTAGCATTCCAGACTTTGAAAGCCAGCTGTCCTGGATCGTAGAATAACCATACCGAATAGATTCAAGTGTTGTAGCGAAACTGGATGGTATAATTTCAGCAACAATTCTCCCTGTGTAAAACAGTGCGGGTGGTCATCATAGTGTTGGTGTGTCGACACTGTCATTAGCCTGGAAAGAGTGATTAAACATGTTGACAGCTGAGAGTCTCGTGGCTTCCCTTGCCACCTTTGTATGAAGATCTTGGAAGCAGCTGTGTGTGGTGGCAATCACGACAGGTGGGAAGCGGGAGGACTGAAACCAGTTGGGGCTGGGCTGCCCACCGGCAGTAGGACTCGGGTGAGGCACCCTTCTAAGACTTTGCTCATGTGTAAAATGAGAGTGTGGCGGACGTGCCTTCCAGAGATTTCCTCCAGCTCTGAAATCCTGTGATCCCTACGCCTGCCTCGAGCTCCGGCCCCTCGTCGCTCCTGGCCTGTTTGTCAGTTGCTCTCAAGTTAGCTACACCTGGATGTGCACCCTTAACGACCCGACCTAACACTTGCCTCACTCACGAAGGTCGAAGGTCGTCTCCCTCCCCTCCTAGCTCCTTGCTCCCTCACAAACACACCCTCTGCTGTTTAGCCTCATTCATTTTATTTTATTTTACTTTCCAGTTTTCTATTCTTGATGGTTGGTGATACCATCACCCTACTATTCTTAGTTAGAAATCTTAGGATATTTGTTTCTTCTTATGCATAGTTACTCAGCTAGTGAGTACCACTCATGCTTCCTTTGTAGTTAATGTCCCTTGGTTTGATTACTTCTAAGTTCTGAGTCCAAGCCTTTTCCTTTTCTTCCTCTGATTATTAGTATGATATCCTTAACCTTCCAACCATCCAAATATTTATTATCCCTATTATGTGTGTCAGGCCCTCTGTTAAGGATTGGGGAAAATATGAACCACACACATCCAGCTTAAGGACTCTCCAGTCTAGTGAGGAGACAAAAATTCAAACAAATGGTTTTATTTTATTTTATTTATTTTTATTTGAGAGAGAGAGAGCATGAGCAGGCTGAGGGGCAGAGGGAGAAGCAGACTCCACACCGCGCAGAGAGCCTGACCCCGGGATCATGACCTGAGCCGAAGGCAGACGCGTAACCAACTGAGCCACCCAGGTGCCCCTCAAACAAATGGTTTTAATACGGTTTTCACAAGAATGATATTTAAAGTCTCAGCTAGACACATAGAGAGTGGACCGTGATATGAAGGGAATCAGGTTAAAAAGTAAGGGTTTGGCAAGAATTAACAAATTACTTGCTAGGGAATGAGGGGACAGAAAATTTTGTGTGAAAAAAAAATGAAAAATTTATGTCAATTCCCAGTGGGGTGATCTGGTGACAGTGAAGCAATTCAAGGTAGAGTATACAGAATCATAGGCTTTTAAAATATTTTTGGAAGGTATAAGGAATTTGTTGATTCATCAAATATTGAGTAAAATTACTTGAGATTATTTGGTGACCAAGATAGACAGGTCTCTGGTCTCCCCGAGCTCATAGTGTGGCAGGCCGGGTGGACACCAGGAACAGACCAGCAGCTGCAGGAAAGGGTCATCAGTGTATGGTCGTTGGGTAGTGCCCTGTGGGATCCAGGTAAGCCTTGTGGAGCAAATGTCCCAGGAGCTTAGACTCGAGGGTAACTCATCCCTTCAACCCATTTTATGGAGAAGAAACTGAAGCTTAGAGATATTGTGATTTACAAATAACCAACTAGTTGGGGCGCCTGGCTGGCTCAGTCAGAAGAGCATACAACTCTGTATCTCAGGGTCGTGAGTTCAAGCCCCACCTTGGGTGAAGAGATTACTAAACAAACAAACCAAATAATAAACTAGTAGCAAGCCAGGCCTGGAAGTCTGGACTTTGATCCCTGGAGTGCCTCGTCGTTTCCTGCTGTGCCCTGATTCCACATTTTCTGGGTGCAGTACCTTAAACCTTCGTCTTTCACAGAACAAAGTGGGTGCTGAATAAATTAATTACTGATTAGTTTTCAACCTGTTGACAAGGCTGACACCTATCTTAAAATGAAGGAACTGCATTTGCACTATTAATCCTTAGGGATTAGCATTCCATAGCAGTTCATTTTGGAGTTACTTATGATTTCTGGTTATGTTTATTTTTCAAATTAGAGTGAGGATTATAATCTAAGAGTTCTATGATGGCTCTACTAAATAGAAAATCTCAAAATAATTAAACATGTTAAAACCTTTAAGTACCTTAGATCTATTTAAAAACCTTCTTGGAATGATTTATTTTAAAGACACATGTAACAAAGCATGGCTTACTGACAGTACCTAAGGTTACAGCATACAGATGAAACAAGTGCTTTCTACTCTACTCATTATTACACAAATGAACTTGATAAAGCCAATTGCTCTATAATACATTTTCAGTAAAAGGGATTTTTAATATAAATGACTCAACAGCAGCCTTGGCATTGACTCTTTCCAAATCTGGATGGATTGGTTGACTAGCTCAGTGGGCTTATTTTACATCGTATTTAGATGTTAAATGCTGGTGTATTTTAGCTTCTATTACCAGGGAAATGTTGAGTAGGCTTATCTGGTTATTTTGTTATGATCATTTAGGTTTAAATGTGCATGCTTTAATTTGGAGCCACTATTTTTCATCAAAATGCTATTTAATATTTACATTGCTTAAAACATAGTAGTTGATACCAGAAGCCATATTTTTTTTAGATTTTTACTTAAATTCAACCTAGTTAACATACAGTGTAACCAGAAGCCATATTTTTGATGGAGCTGTCTTGTAACCGGGAAGAAAATAACAGTCTGTAAATACATGAGTCTTTTCAGAAACCCAGCTGAGGTTAAAATTTTTTTTTATTTTGCTTTAATTTTTGTCTGCATTTTTTTTTCATCTAGAGAAAGTCAAACTTTCCCAGTCCCTGCTAACCCTTAAACTTTTTAATAGGAATGATTCTGTGCATAAGCACAGATGGTTTAGATTTTCACTGAGTGAGATGTAATGTAGCCCACTGGTGATTCACTGGTGGAAGAAACAATTACTTATGAGATGAACCCTGGTCTTTTGGTGGTTCTCCCAGAGGAAGCTGATCCTGTCTCATTTTCCCCGTGAAAGGTTCCTCAGTGGTGCGCCGAGTACTGCCTCTCCATCCACTACCAGCACGGGGGTGTGGTGTGCACACAGGTCCACAAGCCCACAGCGGTGCAGCTCGCCCTCCGCGTGGCAGACGAGATGGATGTGAACATTGGCCATGAAGTTGGCTACGTGATCCCCTTTGAAAACTGCTGCACCAGCGAAACCATCCTGAGGTGGGTGTGGGGAGCTTGGGTCTGCTGTGCCTGATGATGCTCAGCTTGTGTTCTGCAATCCTAGAGGAGCGTGTTCTTGTGTTCTACATTTTAGACATCTATAATGTGTCCTGGTAACTGGTCGCTCCGTCTCCAGCCAGACGTGCACTGGTGGTTTTCCTACACGGACATCATCAGGGATTTCTTGTCTAAACTTCTTCTGTATCTCCCCATAATCCTCAGGGAAAAGGTATGACTTGTTAGGTTGGACCCCAAGGCCCTCAAGCTTGGGCTTCTCAAGCTCCTCATGGTGGGTCCATACAAGTTATCTGTGCAACAGCCAAGCTGCCACATACGTGTGGTCCCCTTGTGCCCCTGCGCCCTCTGCTTGGAATGCCGATGGCTCTTCTGGGCTTGGCTAATTCCTTCTAGGCATGCAAGACCCCATGCAAGGGTCACCTGCTCCAGGAAGGCTTCCCTTCACCCTCCTAAGGTACTGTACCTTAGAAAATACTCGGCCGGACCTCTATAAAACTTGGTACCAGCCTCCATCGTGGCAGGTGTGATCAGTGTTTGTCTAACTCTACTTTTCAGAGTTTTATAGGTTCCAAGGATCCTTCTCAGTAGCTACCACAAGTCGAGGGAGAAGGGCATCTTTTTATCTCTGTTTTTAGCTTCACTGTGAGATTTCCTTCGCAGAGGGTTCTAGGAGCTTAGCACACAGAGGAAAAGAGAAAAGAAAAAGGATAATTGAAAAACAGTGCTCTGGGCCAGTGTTTCTCAAGAAGTTTTATCTCATAGCCCACCTAGAAAGTGAACGTATCTAACAGCACCTCAAGGAAATGGTCAAAGCTGCTTGGCCATCCCAAGGGCTTCAGCTGCCCCAGGCACTGCCTGACCACTCCAAGGGCTGAGGAGACAAGTGTCTTAGGAACAGTGTATCTGCACATCTGTAGCTCCTTTATGTGACACACCATTGGGGAGGCTCTGCTCTAGTGTAACAGGGATGGTGTATACGGTGTGGTGTGGTACAGTGTGGTGTGGTACGGTGTGGTATGGTGTGGTGTGTGGAACTGTGTGATGTGGAACTGTGTGGTGTGGTGTGGTATGGTGTGGTTTAGTACTGTATGGTGTGGTATGGTGTGGTGTGTTATGGTGTGGTATGGTGTGATGTATGGTACCGTGTGGTATGGTATGTTGTATGGTGTGTGGGATGGTATGGTGTGATGTGGTATGGTATAGTGTGGCACAGTGTTGTATGGTATGATGTATGGTGTAGTATGGTATGATGTGTGGTAGGGTGTGGTTTGTTGATGTATGGTATGGTGTATGGTGTAGTATGGTATAATGTGGTGTGGTATTGTGTGGTATGGTGTGGTACTGTGTGGTACGGTGTGGTGTGGTGTGGTGTTGTATGGTATGGTGTATGGTGTAGTATGGTATGGTGTGTGGTGTGGTGTGATATGGTTTGGTGCAGTGTGGTGTGGTATGGTGTGGTATTGTGGTACGGTGTGGTACAGTGGTGTGGTGTAGTACGGTGTGGTGTGGTATGGTGTGTGGTGTTGTGTATGGTGTGGTATGGTATGGTGTGTGGTATGGTGTGTTTGGTATGGTGTGGTGTGGTGTGGTGTATGGTATGGTGTGTGGTGTGGTATGGTGTGGTGTGGTGTATGATATGGTGTGTGGTGCGGTGTGGTGTGGTGTGGTATAGTGTAGTACAGCGGTGCTGTGTCTTGCTTTCTCATATCCCCAGCATCTGACATGATTGTTTCATAGAGAACATTCAACAAATTTGCTAGTGGAAAGAAGGAGTAGTGCCCTCTCCTAGCTAGCTAGAGAGCCTAGAGCCTCTAGTGGTAAAGTCTGGAGACTTTTCCCATTCAGAAAGGCCATGTGACTCATTTGGTTTGTACTAAGCTGCTTTTCTTCAAATGTTTATCTTCAAAAACAGAAGACACAGGTGTTCAGGCTAGTGTTAAACCGTAGGGAATCTTTCCATCAACAGCGATAGGACTTGAACTTCTTGAAGATCTGTCACCTTCTGCTTTTATAGCCACGGTGTCCCCGAGTCATCAGATCAGTAAATATGCATAAACTCTCTATTATGAAAATGATCTATGGATGATACAGATTAACTAGGTAAAAACCTCCCTGCTGGAGTTGGAGAGGGCAGGACATCCTGACCCAGAAGGAGTGAAGGATCCCTAAGCTTGACAGATTTCATTCTTTATCCTTTACATTTTGAAGTGGCCTTTCAGATGGTCATGGTATTAATTAAAGGACAATTCTGACTATAGTCTAAAGTTAGTATAGGTATTTTTATATCTTTAATGCCATCTAGACTTTAAAAACCTTTTGGCAGGAACTTTTGGATGTAGTCGCTTTTTAAATGAAATATTACAGTATTGTTAATATGGATCAGGTGTATATTTGTTTTTTTAGAAAGCCACAGAGATAAATAGTTGTGGAGAAATCTAATAATGTTGTCAGAGTAGGTCGAAGACATATCTCTCTCTGGGACTTGGCTTCCATGTGATTATTTTCTGGAAACCCCTCCCCCCCTCCCCCAAGCATTCAATCGTGACAGCCAAAGGAAGGGCTACAATTTATGTTGAGCTTTTTTGAGTCCTTACCTGCATGTAGCATTCCCTCTGAGTATGGACAACAGCTTTCGGCTGTGGGGCCGCTGAGGCGCAGGTACACCTCTGGAGGCGGTGGGACTTGGTGGCCTACCTTGGCCCCAGCGGGTTCTGCTTCTGCTGCCTTGGCCGGGGGGCCTGGCCCTCACACTGTCTTTTGTATCTGCACTTTGCCATTATTCTCGTGGCTGGGACACTGTTCGTTCTTCTCCTGGCTGACAGCCCCCAGCCAGTGCAGAGTCAGCAGGTACTCTGATTTGTTGCGAACAGAGTTTGACTCGCAGCAGAGAGGCTCAAACTAGTGAAAAGCCCCGTATGACAAAAGAGAGTGGCTCCCCCATCTCCCTCCTGGTATTCTGTGCTCTGAAGAGGAGGCAGCACGGCTGTAAGAGGAGTGTCCCCACCACTTGTTCCCCTGAGCCCCTCACAGGCCACCTGACCGCGCCAGGCTCAGGCTTCCTCGTCCGTAAGATGGGGTGCTTACTCTGCCTGCTCACGGGGTTGTTGTGAGGGCAAAATGAGCTAATCCGTGGGGCTGACAAGGGTGAGCACCTTGTACACGTTGGCTAAATTTTCATTATCTAGGTAAAGCGGAACCAGATGCATTTTCTTAGAGATCTGTGCTAACCATAATTTTTAAAAAGCTCAGATTGAATAGCTATTTAAATGAGAGGCTTTAAAGTGACCTGTTGATTATGGAAGGCAGTGTTCTATGCTTGCTATTGTCTTCTTCATTTTCTTTGTAACCCCTTAGTATCTAATTTATCAGGCATGTGATAGACCCTTAGTAAATATCATCTTTATGCCTAGTACCATTTTTTTTGGATGTTGTATATAACATCTTAATTCTTTTGTAAGCTTTTTTGTGACCTTTTTTGAAACAGTGGGTACCTAAATATTATATACCTAAAAATCTCTCAGCAGGTATCCAGAGTTGTAGAAGTGACACATAAATTTCAAATATGCACCCCCCAGAACATAGATTTTGAAAGAATTACTTGTATTTTCATTCAAGGTCAAATTCAATACATTTAATTTTGGAAAATATTAATAAAACTATCCTATATTTTATTTTTAGCTTTCAGAAAGTCTGTTTTAGGAATTTGAAATATAAACTACATTTCCTGAAACCTTAGCAATCTTTTTTTTTTTTTTAATAGTTATCAGGAGCAGCACTTTTTAAAGCACTGTTCACATGGTCTTAGTAACACAAAGGTAGGAAGTAGATCTCTGTGTTATGGAGAAAATTGAAGGTTTGTATAGTTTTAGGATTGAGCCTTAGTATTCCCTTAGTGTTACATGATCATCTGGAAGGCCCAGGCCTTGCTGAGTCTAGCGGAGTTTTAAATAAGTCACCACCTTCCTCTTTTTAATGAAGCCTCGGTGTATTTCCATAACACGCCGCATCCTCCTGGCAGAGAGCATTTCTCCCTGTAAGATCAGTGCTTAGATGAGTTTTTGCTGAGAAGGGAATAGATTTGATTTCTAACATGAAGGAAGTAGCACAGATTTAAGTAATTTGTTTTGAGACCAGAGTTGGTACTAACGTGTGATGACGTCACACTAACTCCTCAGAGAGAGGGTGTAGCCGAGGCATTTGTGGTGGTGTTTGGAGTCTCCAACTTTTCATGAGGGCCTCTGACTTTCCTACTGCTTCTTCGTAGGTATTGTACGGATGACATGTTACAGAGAGAGATGATGTCCAGCCCTTTTTTGGGCAGCTACGGGGTCATCATCTTGGACGACGTCCATGAAAGAAGCATCGCCACTGACGTGTTACTCGGACTTCTGAAGGATGTTTTACTGGCGCGCCCGGAACTGAAGCTCATAATTAACTCCTCGCCACACTTGATCAGCAAACTCAGCTCTTACTACGGAAATGTGCCTCTCGTCGAAGTGAGGAAGCAGCACCCTGTGGAGGTTGTGTACCTGAGCGGGGCTCAGAAGGAGTCTTTTGAGTCTATTTTACGCCTTATCTTTGAAATTCACCAGTCCGGTGAGAAGGGGGACATTGTAGTCTTTCTGGCCTGTGAACACGTAAGTCATATTCTGACCTCACAGAGTCATCGGATTCCTTTGGGGGGAACCTTTTAACCTCGTTGGGAAGCTTTTAATAATTAACATCCAGGTGTCCATTTATCAACTCACTGTTTGAATATTTGGTTCCAACACACCTTTTGTTTGTTTTTTTTTTTTAAAGTACTCGAGAAACCATGCCAGCAGGGTAAATAAGACGGGTTCTGAGCAGAGGACACGGGAGGGCCTGTGAAATCACAAGCTGTGAGAGCAGGGGACAGGGGAGGTGCTCGGGACTCCACAGTGGGGGTCTCCAGAGCTCTTGGGCCGGGTCTCAGGCTGCCCAAGATGCCCAGCCCCTGCTGCGCCCGCATGCTTGGATGGTCTTGGAGAGAAGATGCATGCTGACCCCCATCACCCTCTCGGTGGTCTCCCGTGTGACCAGGAGTGTTTGCCGCAGAGGAGGACTGTCCCCTAAGCACTTGACCTAGGGCGAAGGAACAAAAAAAGTTCCCACAGATGTTTCTACAATAGTCAGTGGGGTGTGAGGCAGAAAAATAAAATTTATAGCATACCCAGAAGGCTTTCTTCCTACACTGGGCTCCTCTTCTTAAAAGATGAATGAAAGAAAAATCTGACTTGGATTCTAGATGTGTTTTCAGACAATTCGAAATGTATAACTGAGCATCTGTTACTGCTTTTACATCCTCAAGATGCCATTTGGGGTTGCTTTGGATTTTGTTTTTGTTTTTAATTGCAGCTATACAGTGGCCCTACTTCCCTTCTAGTACTCTGTTGGCTGAATCCAGAAGCCTCCACAATCTCAAGAATTATACCTTTCTTCTTAGAGACTAATTTCCTGGTCTTTATTTTCCTACCCATCATCTTACTCAGTAAAAGTACTAGTTTTTGGACCATGACCCAAATATGTAGTGATTCCAGTGACTAAGCAGAAACCAAAAAGGAAGTTGTTTGGTATTGGCTTAGCCACCAGCTGAACAAAGACAAGTATCTCAGCTCTCCATCAGAATCTGAAGTTTCACATGCTTTCAGAAATACTCATAGAAGTATTTATTCTGTTTTACATTCAGAGCATGAAGGATGACTGACCCTCTTAGCTTCAGGAACTTTAGACAGATTTTACCTGCTTCCATAAAGAAAGTAATTTAAAATCTCAGATACATGATAACTATAGCATGTTTATCAATTTTTCATGTATAGATTATATAATTTGTTCTTTTACCTATTACAGTGATTTATTCTATTATCATTTCCTAATCCTGCATGATTCAAGATAGTCCTGAGGAAAGTAATAAAATGATTAAGCAGCCAAGAGAAGGATTTATGAGGACGATTAAAGATTCTCAGTGTAACCCAGAGAAGCCTTAGAGAAAGGGAAGAATGGCAGAATTAGCCAGTGTCAAAGTCAGTCGCTAGGTGAAAAAGAAGACCTAAGTTTCTGGAAGGGGGCAGTATAATTAAAACTGATAGAATGAGTAGTCCTTCTTCAAGTCAGAGTAAGCAAAAATTCCCAAATGGATTTTTTTTTAAGATTTTATTTTAGAGAGATTGGGGGAGGGGGGAGCAGAGGGAGAGAGACATGCTGAACGCAGAGCCTGACACAGGGCTCCATCCCATGATCTGAGCCGAAATCAAGAGTTGGGGCTTAACTGACTGAGCCACCCAGCCGCCCCCCAAAATGGATTTTTGAAAAATAAAGTTCATAACAGAATTGGGGATAGTGGATGGTCTTAAGAAAGGTAGTTGATTCTTATAAGTTTAATATAAGTTATAATTAATGACATGGTGACTTTTGAAATGTCAGACTTTAGGAGATGCATTTTTACCCAGGCTGGTAGTCTCACCCCAGGGCTTACAGAGGCATATAATCTTTCATGAAGTTGGACCAGAAAGACATTTCCTGTTAAGAAACCATAGTCTTGTGATGTTGGGCAGGGGCTGCAGGTCTGACCCGGGTCCTGGGGTCTCTGCAGGAGGCTCCCCAGTGTCCACAGGCTCACGGCAGAGGCCTGGGTTGTCACCATCATGCTGGCTTCAGCATACCTCTGCCAGACCAGTTTTCCCTCCCAGTTCAGCTCTGAACTCCACAGCTGGTGTCTGCTTCTCCCCGCCTCCCCGCTAACAAACTGGACACAGTTCGTCTCCTGATGGACATTCCTCTTTTCTTCTTTACCACTTAGATCAGCGTTACCATTAAGATATTCCTCTCATGGGGCATCTGGGTAGCTCAGTCTGTTAAGCATCCGGCTCCTGACTTCGGCTTAGGTCATGATCTCTGGGTCGTGGGATGTTGGGCTCTGTGGGGAGTGTGGAGTCTGCTTAAAGTTCTCCCTCTCCCCTCCATGCCCCACCCCCACTTGTGCACACTCTCTCTCTCTCTCTCTCACAAAAAAAAAAAAGAAAAAACAAAACTTCTTTCCTGTGGTCTTGCAATTTGTCTCTTTGGAAAATTTGCCTTGCTCTGAAATCCATGTTAACACTATTGATCATTTTCCTCCCGTACTATTCGAAGCTTTCTTAATTTCTATATAAAACTTTCAAATCTGCCATGGCAGTTAAATGTCCTAGGAACGCAAGCAGCTAAGTACGTGAACAGAAACGTACTGCTTGTCATTTTTTATGTTAAGAGCTACATTTATAATTGTAGAAATACTCTGCAACATTTTGGGTCGGTGAGCACTCAGTGCCTCACATGTGCTGTAAGCGCTGGCCTTACCCCTCACCAGCTGTGGATTAAGTCCCCACGGCCCCGTGCTGCCCCACGTCTTCACACGTGATCGAGGCTTTGAGCCCTCTGTGTTTCTAGTTTCCTTATCACCTAACTGTCTTTTAACCTGGAAAAGTGAAATACGTTAAGTAGAGAACGAAGTTGAGATTTATGGTCCCATCAGCCTGATGACTGTGCCCCTCTAAACCATTCCAGAAAGGCACTGTCAGGTTGAAGGGTTCCTGGGAAGTGCTCCACGCGGTTCCGGGCCTTTCGTTTGGAGCCCAGGGATCTCCCTTCAGTGTGTCTTGTGCTTTCCATGGCTTTACAGAGCTCCTAGGAAGGCCCCCCATAGGTCAGTGCCCTGTACCCATTGGGGAAGAAGGAAATGAGGAAGAGGTTGGAAGCACCAGACACGTATGTTGAGCGTTTTTTTTTTTTTTTTTCAAATTCTGAAGGTTATGGCCTCAAAGCCCTGTCAGCTGAGCCTGAGGAGTCAACCACATACAGCATCCATTTCTATTTTGCTCCGCTTTTTTGCTTTTGAAGATTTGTTTTATGCCTTTTTCTTTCTCCATTCAGAACAAAACTCAACCCAACAACCCACCTACAACCAAAAAGGTTTAGTAACTAGAAGCAAATAAAAAAATGAGCGGCCCAAATGACCTTTTAACAGTATTCTAAGAGAATAAGAGAAACAATAAGCTGCACTGTTTGAGTGCAGCTTGAAGGTTTATTTTGAAAAATAATTGCTCACAGGGCGCCTGGGTGGCTCAGTCGTTGAGCGTCTGCCTTCGGTTCAGGTCATGATCCCAGGGTCCTGGGATCGAGCCCCGTATCGGGCTCCCTGCTCCGCGGGAAGCCTGCTTCTCCCTCTCCCTCTCCCTCTGCTTGTGTTCCCTCTCTCGCTGTGTCTCTCTCTGTCAAATAAATAAGATCTTAAAAAAGAAAAAAAAAATAATTGCTCACAAGTGCGCTGCTGGAATCCGTCTCCATCTCCAAGTCCAGTAGCACCTGTGGGCAGCCTGCTGGGAGGAACAGGGGATGTCCTGGGGGGTGCCAAGCTGCGGCCAGCGGCAGGGACGCACAGCCCACAATCCTGCTGTCCCTGTAATTTCTAACAGGCTGTTCTCACATAGATGGCGTGATCAGAATTATAAGTTTGTTCCAGTTGTCCCAGTCGGCAAGTTTTCATTCATTATGATCAACAGTTACACTCTGCTTGGTAGACCTCTGCCCCCAGGAAGCCACCTCTGTGGGACGCATACAAAGAAGAATGTAACTGGACACCTGCTCACGTGGAGGCCTCTGCCCCGCTTCCTGGGGCCTCCCTGCGGCTCAGGAATAACTTTCAGACAGCTCACCCATGATGCCATTTTTCCAGGCAGATCTGTCTACAAAACCCTTCTGTTAACCGTCTTCTGCAAGTGAATGAAGGAAGGAGAGTGAGTGAGCTACTGCACTGGAAAACGGAATAGGTCTTAAAACTTGAACGGTCATGGAAAGTCATCTTTTTTTTTTTTAGAATTTTAGTGAAATCTAATGAATGAAATGAGGCTTCTTCCATTTGGTAGTTTGTTGGGCCCTTTAGAAAGTAGAAATTTTAGAAACATAAATGAAAAAGGTGTAAGAATTAAGTGACATCTTTTTTATATGAGGTCTTAAAAAACTAGTTGTATTTGAGAAATAGAAAAATACTATCTAAAATGCCTTGCCTTTTGAGCATTTGACACTAGTTACTTCTGTATAGTTTTAGGGGAAATAATTTAGTTTTTTTTTTCAATGCATTTGGCAGTGAAACAATTTAAAAGGATATTTGTAAATGCCTGAATCATGCCAAGGTGTGTGAATTAGCAGTGAATATTTCCTGCCTACTTCATTGCACATATGCTGTCTTAAGGTACTAATGGGTCAAGACAACTTTCAGGGTGACCCAGAGACCCTGATTACAGAATGTGTATGTGTATATGTTTTTATTGGAAATCCAGAGGTTGTTTTATAATTCTCTACTCTGTCACCATCAGAGCACAGTGATGCATCATCACTGATGTGAAAATAACTTTGGTTTACCCGCCATTGGTAATGGATTTGAGAAAATGCATCAAGCTAGAAACATAGGATAAATGCATGAAGGCACAGGTAGTGCATTTCACAAGAGAAAAACCATTTTGGACTTAAAAAAGCAATGAAATTGTTTATAAATTATATTTAACTTCCCTAAAGAATTGTTCTTGTCCAGTTACATCTTTTCACATAATGATTCACATAAACGACACAGGTATTTCTTTCCTTAAAAACGTTATGCAGCTTTTGCCTATAGTTTTATTTAATTAGACATTTTTTTAGGTAATAAAGTAGTTTGTGACATGTTTATTCTCATGGCTGATGTTATTTTTTACTTTAGGATATTGAGAAAGCCTATGAAATCGTCTGTCAGGAAGGATCTAACTTAAACCCAGATCTTGGAGAGCTGGTGGTCATTCCTTTGTATCCAAAAGAGAAATGTGCATTGTTCAAGCCAAATGATGAAACAGAAAAAAGATGCCAAGTTTATCAGAGGAGAGTGGTGTTAACTGCTAGCTCTGGAGAGTCTTTGATCTGGAGCAACACAGTCAAATTTGTTATTGATGTGGGTGTGGAAAGGAGAAAGGTAATTATTGTCAAGTCGGTAAACCATCTGATCACTGTCCTTGGGTTCCTGCCACTATGTCCACTGGGAAGTGAGGATGAAGCATGGGATCTGGGGAGTCTCTGATTGGCTCTTGTGTGGAAAGAGAAAGTATTGCGAGTCTTGTTTAGCCGTTAACTGCCTTTCATTAGCAGGTAGGTAATCCCCAAACTGAGTTGATTGAGGTGCCACAGGAATACGTCTTTAGAAAAGACACAACTAACTAAAGCATAAAGATGGTGGTTCTCCTTGTCAGTGGTTTTTCTTAAGCTCTGGTGCTAGCAAGGCAAATTATTGGACTCCTAAACCAACCTTTCGCCAAGTCCATCCACCGAGTATTTTTGGTAGCCCCGTTATCAAAATGATTAGCCTCTTCCCTGAGGTGATTTACCAGAAATTAGTTTCAAGTACACGGACTTTAATCTTACCAGCTTTTAGCTTTAGTGTTGATATGATAAAATTCTATCCTAAAGTTTTAAAAATGTTTTTTATAACTACCTTTAAAGAAGAAAATTAGGAGGAAGGGAAGTAGGGTATCTCAAAGGCACTGGGACTTAAATCCTAGCACTTAGAACTGAAGGAACCTACCCAAGTATTGATCTGTTTCACCTTATTAGAGATTATGTATCTTTCATCCCTCGAGGAAACCGGGTCTTCTAAGTATCTTACTGCAACAGAGCAGTTCCAACCGTTCTGAAGGTTCCCTTGGAACCAGTTTGGGCTCTTACCGAATTAGTCCACCATTCAGAGAACCCAGGGCTATCACTTGCCCCCCTCTAACCCCCCGTAAGAAAAAAAAGCACTGTTGGTGCCATATGCAGTTTTTGTCTGAGCTGATACGACCGGAAAAGCTCAGCGTATATTGTCAAAGTCAGACTGCCGAGATCACAATTTGAATAGAACCTTGAAGAGACGCACCGGCCGATGATGATGCTTCCCTCCGTGTGGTGTATGCCGATCTGTTGTCATCACAGGGTCGTGCTTTGAGAAGTGACACCGCTAGCATTTCAGGAGATGGTGCAGAGGTCCCATATTTATGGAACCTACAATGAAAGCAGACAACTTGAAATCCATTTGTAAAGGCACTAGCAGTTTCTTTCTCAAGGCAAGTGAAACAATAATAAATATGGTCCAGAGAGAATGAGTCCGTAGCAGAGCATTTCACCAGGTGCTGCAAACCACACGCTCCCCTCCGGTACAGCGAGCCTGCGAAATCTTGAGTGATCTGATGCTAACGTTGCTGTCTCTCCGTTTAAAGGTGTACAACCCTAGAATAAGAGCAGACTCACTCATCACACAGCCCATCAGCCAAAGCCAAGCGGAGATACGCAAGCAGATTCTCGGTTCGTCGTCTTCAGGTAGCACCACAATCACGAAAACTGCTGCAAACTCCTGAATGAAGGCAACCTAGAGACATTAAAACCACTCTCCTTGGTTTCTTCTAGGAAAACTCTTCTGTCTGTACTCTGAGGAATTTGCTTCCAAAGACATGCGGCCACTGAAGCCAGTGGAAATGCAGGAAGCCAACCTCACCAGCATGGTGCTCTTCCTGAAGAGGATAGACATCGCGGGCTTGGGCCACTGCGACTTCATGAATAGGCCAGGTAGCTTTGTGCTCGCGGGGCGCGGGGTGCGGGGCCGAGACGGGCCTCCTTTCCTCCCGTCCGGGTCCAGGCCGGAGAGCAGGTGGCCCTTGGCAGTGCAGGCAAGCGTGGGGTGGCAGGCATGTGTACAGAAGCATTTTTCCCTTTAGAGGTAAGTGTTCTCTGAAGGAATTTTTTAAAAAGCCTCTAGAAATCCCTGCCCTGACAGTGGAGGATTGTCTGCCGTTGGACCCTGGAGCCCAGGAGGGTGGGCCTGAGGGGCCCGCTGTCTGAGTGTGGCGTCTGAGGCTGCCTGCAGCCGAGGGCAGGGGACTTCTGGCAGCTTTCAGGTTTCCTGGTGGGACATGTGTCAGCCAACAGTCCTTCCTCCTGCATCGCTCTGTCACACGGGGAGCACCCCTAGAAGTTCCCTCCTTTGTAATTAAGGTTCAGCTCTTCTGTGAAAGGGGTAAGGTTCTCGAACCTAGGGCTGAGACTCTAGTGACAGGCCGGCCACGGTTCTCTGGGGGAATATCTCCTCTGGTGGGTCCCATCACCCAGGAGGTGCCGGCGTTCTCCCCTCCAGTGCCGCCCCTCCCTCGCTGGGACGGTGGCTGCTCTGTGGGGCACCAGCAGGGTGCTGCGGAAAGGCCGAGAAAGCACGGGGCGGGCGGCTTCAGCGGTGTGTGGGGCGGCCCCGCCACATGCTCACCTCGGGAAGGGAAGCCGGGACCTTCTCTTCTTAGCCTCCCGCCTTCTCGCACGTTCCCAGTTGGCTTCTCCTACCTGGTGGGCAAACGCTGCTTCCGCTCTGCCCGCAATGTCTGGGGGGTGATGCTGGCTATGGAGTTTAAAACGTCAGCAGTCAGCCGGCAGAGAAAGGCTGAAAGTAGCAAATGCTCTCCTTGTTCTTGTCCATTTAGACATCTGCCTGTCCTCTCAGAACAGCAGTACCCTCTGTACGGCCAGCAGCGGGACATAGTTGTTCAAAGCTGCAACAAGCCTCTGAGGCAAATGCTCTGATTCGCTCCATTTTACGGATGAGGAAACCGAGTCACAGAAATCAGGTCACGTACACAGAGAAGGTGAACACTCTGCTCGAGTGTCTCCTTAAACACACCAGAGCCCCATGGGCCTAAACATCTCTCCCAGTCATCTGTGCCCTCTTTTCCTTAGGGAAGTTCTCTGGTGCTTCTCCGCCGCACCCCCAGACCTCCAGCACCCCACCCCCGAGCCGGCAGGGGCGGCTCAGATGCGGCTTGCTGAGTGCTGCCTGCCGGCGCTTCAACAGGAAGGGATGCCTTCCACCGCCGCCCCCCTCCCCGCCGCCCCCGCCGCGGGAACTGTGGCGAGCTAGACAGCGGTGGGGGCCGGGGGCCCAGGCAGGCCGGCGGTGCTGGTGGCCGCATTCCCTCCGTCCCATCACTTTCCAGCCACCCCCTCCTCTCCCGTGTGTCCTGACCGCTGAGGAAGAAAGTGAGGGTCTCTGCCATGTGCCCCCATCTCTCGGGTTTCTCCTGTGACCTCAGAGCTTTGGACAACTTTGCAGGAGGCCGGTTGGCCACAGTAACCCCTGCAGAGACCTTCCAGAGACCAAGCTCTGAAGAAACATGCTTCGTTTTTGGGAAAATGGCTGCCCCAGCTCCACCGCTCATCTCTTAGGCCCAGAGTCAGCACGTGTGGACGCCCCAGGCATCTTCTTGGCTGTGGACAGTGGCTGTTTGGTGAGCTTGCCTTGAAGGGAGAAGCGGACAGCAAAGCACAGCAGTGCCGAGAACCCTGCGTCCCCCCGGTGGCCCCGGCTGCACTGCTTAGGCCCGGAGCTGGTCCCCGGGGACCGAGGTTAGGGCAGTGGCTTATTGTTGTCTCCCGACAGTACACACAGAACTGTGTTCTGCTGTGCTAGGGGAAAAGCTAACTGTGGAGTCACTCTGGCTCATCATTTTAGGAGGAAAAAAAGATGATGCTTGCAGCTGGTGCATTTAACTCAACTTACCACTGAAATACGCAAATGCAGCAAACCTGTTACCCTTTTCAGGATTCATGAGCCATGTGAAAATGAATTTGGCATAACTAGGCTACAGGCTATTCACTGAACTCCCTTGATAAAGATCTCTTAAAAAAGGAAAAAAAGAATCCATTGTATTTTCTTCCCTGGTGCTGAAGATTGACCTCCATCACAAGCGACACCATCACTGTTGATGTGGATCAGGATGCCCAGGGTCAACTGAGCACGTTTCCTTCTGGGAAGCAATGGCACCTACACCGAAACTGGGGACAAACTAGCTGACACGTACCAGCCTGCCCCAAATGTTATCTCTGTGTCTGGATACAGAGCTCATGTGGATGAGACGACTGGCTTTGGAATGATCTGGGAAGAATGAACCCGCACACAGACTTGCCAGACGTGGCGTGCAGGACGAGACCGAGCACTCGAGGAGGCGGGCAAGAACGCCGGGGCAGAATCACATCACGGCCGCGGAGGCCAGTGTTGGGAGTCGGCAGAACGAGGGAATCAGAGATGCTGCAGGGGCTTGAGCTGCGGTGATGCTGCAGGAAGTTCCCCAGAAGAGTCAGGATCTTCTGGAATCCCATCTGCCACAGGAAAGCCTCGTTTGTGTGCACACTGGCGAAGTGCCTCTCCTTGTCTCTGCATCACTGGAAATGGGGTATTTTGCTTCGGGGTTTGCAAAACGGTCTTTAAATGTGACAGTCTGTACTCAGAGGAGAGCAGGGGCAGAAGGGGCCGCGGATGCCACGTGCAAGAGCTGGTGCTCGCAGACGGCCTCGCCGCCCCCCCCACCGGCTGCCGGCCGCCCCCCCCCAGCTCCCCCGACAGCCCCGTACGTGAGCAGAGAGGCCGATGCCACACGGGCAGGAAGCCCCCGTCTAGGTGCCTGTGTCAGTGACGGTCGCACCTGCAGAGTTTGTTGCTGTATTCAGGTGGCGGGGTGGGAGTGTGGAAAAGAAGCACAAAGTACTTTTTCTTCAGTGAAGAGAATGGGAGAGATTTTAGAAGGCACAGAATGGAAGCATTTTCAGCTCTTGATTCGCTCGCCTTAGGCTCTTCATGGGTCCCATGAGCACGGGACTCATTCTCCAGGCCAGGACGTTGGAGGGCAGAAGGGGACGCTGTTGATAATGAAGCCGTGGCGAGCCGTGGGAACGGGCTGTGCTCGGCCCACCGGCAGAGGGGCCCCGGATGAGGGGCTGCACTAGGGAGCTCGGGCTCCCAAGCAGACTGCCAGGGCTCTGGTCCCGGCCCCCCACTCCCATGTCACATCCGGCATTGTGTCACCCCCTCGGGCCTCAGTTTCTTCATCTGAATGTGAACATAATCAAAGCAATTGGTTCATAGAGTTGTCAATATAAATCCATTTATGTGACTGGCATATAGTAAATCCTGTAGCTGTCCCCACCTGTGTGACTCCTACCTGAGCCCCGAAACAGGCCTGTAGGCCCTGAGCAGCAGAGTCCCTACAAAGGGCAGTTTTCACCGTGTGAGAAGCAGATGCGGAGCTGTAGGCGTTGGGAGGCGGCCCCAGGCCGCTCATAGCAGAGCGTCCGGCTTAGAGCCAAAAGACACACAGCAGGTGCAAAGGCCTGGGCCCCCGTCCCTGTCGTGTAGCTGCGGAGACAGGCTGCCGAGGCCTGTGTCTCTGGCACGTCACTTAGCTTTTACTCATCTGTGGCATGAGGATACGGTGTGTGCCCTCTCGTGTCAGGGGCTCCTAGAGGCTCACAGGAGATGATTTATGCCGAAGTGCTGTGTATAGTGTGTAGGGGGCGAGGTTAGGCAATTGCCAGGCTTTATGAGCATGTCCTTTGAAATCTGGCGAAACAGAAGCCTGCCTGTCCTCCTCAGAGCCAAACTCTTAAACCTGTTTCCTAGAAGTCCCAAGACTTTAGAGTCTACACCGTCAGCCCAGAGCCATCTCCTGATTCCTCAGTGTCTCCCTTCTGTGCACCGTGCACCGTGCCCAAGTCCCAGTCCTCAAACCAGTTGGGGCCAGAAACTTCCTTTTTTCTTTCGTCTTCTCAAGCTGTGACTTTATTTCTCTCTGTCGTCTTTCTCCGTGTGTGTGTGATGAAAGCAAGTACCTGGCACACGGTGAGAGCTTTGAGGGCGGCCGTTCTTGTTCCTTCCATATGCCAGCTTGGCCCCTACCTTTTCTAAGCTCTAGCGGCACTTGAATTATTATGCTGTGGTGTATTCGTTAGAATTCCTCTGGACATGAGTGCCAGCAATGCGGTTCACACTAGCATAAACACAAGTGAAGGATCATAAGGAAATTGGGGTGTCCTGTGAAATCCAGGGTGAGAAGGAAGTCGAGCCTCAGGAACACTTAAGAAAACAGAGACTTGAACAACCTTGGCAAATGGTGTCTCATCTCTGGGTCTCTTGGTTCTTTTCCTTTGCTCTGTCTCGTCACTTCTCATGGCAGAATCTCAGCTGTGTTCTCCAGGCCTTACAATGTCCCAAGTCAGCCCCTGGAAACCCCTCAGCTTCTCTTGATCCAGACTCCGAAACCCGCCCCCAACGTAGAGCGTCGCTGGCTCGGGTTGAGCAGGGCCCACCCTGACCCAGGCAGCCGTGTCTGGAGGCTAGCGGTAGTCTGGGAGGTGGTCACGTGCTACAGAATCGTGCTTCTCTAGGAGTGGGGGTGCACTTCCTTGAGAAGAGGCCAGTCGGGTAAAATTGCATCTCCGGACACTGGAAATTGGTCGTTGGTTTGTATGTGGGTCTCCCTCCTAAGACCTCCAGCTCCAGGAGGGCCAAGGTTGGGCCCGTCTGCCCACGTGTGTCCCTGCTCCTGGGGCCTTGCAAATGCCAAGATCACAAGACACTCACGTGTGGCTTGTGAGGGAGAGGAAGTGAGTGAATGAGTTGAGTGTTATCCTTAGAAGGAAATAAGTCCACTAACCAACAGCCAGCAAGGCAGCCCCTGGAGATGGACTCCGCTGCCTTCTTCCCCTTAGTCCCTTCCTAGGCCTGGGCTGGGCGGGAGTGACGGGAGGTGCCAGTGGCTCTCTGGTCTTCCAGGGTGTCCTTCCAGGGCATGGCACGGAGCGGTAAGCTCATAGGACCCAGGCCGCCCCTGCCTCGTGCTGCAGCCTGAGAACCCCGTCCACGGCAAGGCTGGGGACAAAAGGGTCTTCTCCTACCCCTAAGGAGTCACCTTGCCGTGGGTATGGCGCTGAAAACGCGTCTCTCCTGGTGACCAGTGGAGGCCCCCCATCTCTCAGATCCTTTCCAACTCTAGCGACGCCAACCGAACCTTAATCCTGTATCCTTATTGGTTAGAGAGTAGGCTAAGGGGTCTTGGGAAAGAGAGGAATCAACCGTGGGGACTGCTGACCAAGAGACACCCCCTCCCCGGTTCTGCTCCTGCGCGACATTTATTAGCACTGTTTCCCACGGCTCGCACTTAAACGACGCTGCTGTGAAGAGCCTCATCTAAACCCTTCTGCTGTTTAGCTAAGACCGTTTTATGAGCCACACTGGGGAGATGTCTTAAAGTGTGGACGTAATATTAGCAAATCCTATTCAGTTATTTATTATTGTTCCTTCACCTGTCTAATCTATATTCATTAACTTGTTCCTTCTGATATAATAAAACCCCAAGAACATCCTCTTCTTTTCTGGTGTTAGGACAGGAGCAGAATTAGGAAATTATTTCATAATCCTCTGTGCAGCCAACTGAGCTGCAGGGCATAAAAACGAGGAGGAGGTGCCCTTTGGGGACAGAGCCCAGCTGCAGAGCCAAATGCTTACGGGGACAATTGCCAAAGATCCTGTAAGTTATAACGCAGCTGATTTATAGAAATTGGTTTCTAAACAGTTTTCAGTAATTAAGTTTGTGCTTGCAACCCCCTCCTGCTGTGTTTAATCTGAGATGCGTGTTTCTATGACTGCGTCTCGCACCTTCGCCAGCAGGTCAGCTGTTCCTTCATTTCATGGCTCACTGAGAGAACTCGCAGACTTTTTTTTTTTTTTTCTAAATAGCCCATCTGTCTCCTTCCCGGGACCGTGGCTTCTCAAGGTCTCCTCTTTGCCCAGGGGTGTCCCAAGAAGGAGCGAGAGCACCACACCGGTGCTCCATGCCAGCACCCAGGCAGGACTGAGGGGACAGAACGCGGGGAAGGACAGGAATCTCCTGGGAGCCCTGCGCTGCTCAGTGTTAAATCTCAGTGAGAGAATTCGAAAGCAGTAGGGAAGTTAAAGTTCTTCTCTCCCAGGCGGGGATTAAAGCTGTGCTCCAGGTCGTTCAGCAGGTGTCTGGAGTCCAGGCAGGTTCGCAGGGGGCTTACCTTCTTAGAGCCTCTTGCAGCCCTGACACCTGCTTTTCCAGAACTGATCTTCTGCTTGCGACTGATGTGTCTCAGGTTGAGATCAGGCCTGTTACCTGCTCTGCTCTTCTGCAGCGAAGGGACTAGAGACTTGACGAACCGCACACCACCATTGGCGAGCCATTTCTCCATCCACAGCAGTGGTTTCTCCTGTTGTTTTCATGGCGTCTCGTTAGCAATGAGGGGATTGTAGCAAATCTGAGTGGGTGACTGGCTTTTGAGTTACACAGTTGGGCTGAAATTTGGTAAGTAGCTTAGCGGTCAGTGTTTGAACAGCAAATAAGAAAATTTTTACTATTTGTTACATTGAACTCCCTGATGCAAGTAGGTGAAATTGCTGCTTGGGTCCCCATTGTATTCATCCCCTGCTCACAAGGCATCTGCTAGAGTTGAGACAAGTGAAAGCGATCTGGAGGTGCTCGGAAATCCTTCAGTGTCTGGGGTAGAACAACAGACAGCAGCTTAATACTGTGTGGTTTGCTTCTTCGTGTGGCCTTTACTGCTGTACCACCTGCCGGACGGGTGAAAAACACACCTATTTATCAATCTCGTCTTACTCTGCAAGGGCAAGGGGAATACCTTGCTTTGAACAAATGGATTATCTTTTTTTGGTGGGAATTAAGCATATATGATGAACACCACACCATTACTGATGTTCTATAAACTTAAGAAATACAGATCTGGGGGAAATCAGCCCTCTGCCCTTACTTGCACTGGCAGGTAACTCTTAAACACCCTCGCCTGCTACTTCTGTCATCTCTTCGGGTTCTGGGTCAGTTTCAGCTGATTAACTTTTCTCTTTATTATGGGACTGTATTTTCTTGCTCTTCATGCCTCTACGTAATTTATTGGATGCCAGACATTGTACATTTTGCCGTGTTGGGTATTGGATATTTTGTGTTCCTGTAAATACTTTTGACCTTTATCCTGGCTTGCAGGATGATCCTTTCAGGTCCTGGTTTTAGGATCTGTTAGCTGGCACTGGAGATCAGGGGTGGGGTGGGGGTGGGGGGGTTCTTCCCTTCTGCTTCTCCTACCCGGGGCCCCATAAACTGTGCGATTTCCCAGCCCAGTGGGTAGAAGTGGGCAGTATCCTAGATCCCGTGTGGGCACCCGGCACTGTCCCTCTAATCATCTGGATGGTTCTGTGACCCGACACAGTTTCTTCCGCGTGCTCCGCTGACGAATCGAGGAGACCTTTTGTGGATCTTCCGAGTCCTGTCTCTGTATGGCTCTCTCCCGTCAGGTAGTCCCACCTGCAAGCTCTGGCCACCTTAGCCTCCTTGGACCCTCCGCACCATCTTCATAACTCCCAGCAGTCGGGAAACTTCCACTTCTGGGTCCACTTCTGGCCCTGGAGCCGGGAAACTCTTTCAAGGCCTTACACTGGGCAGTCATGGCGCTCACCTCATTAGCGCCCCCCTCTCAGGAATCACTGTCCTTCACTGCCTGACGTTCTTTGTCTTGCAAACTGTCATTTCACATGTCTTGCCCACTGTTTGGTTGTTTCATATGGGAGGGGAGGCCCAGGACTTGTCACTCCATCTTGATTCTAGGAGATGGGTGATGATTTTTTGCTCTGCTAGCCCCGGAAAGTCTGATGCAGGCTCTGGAAGACTTGGATTACCTGGCCGCACTGGACAATGATGGGAATCTCTCGGAGTTTGGGATCATCATGTCGGAGTTTCCTCTTGACCCACAACTCTCAAAGTCTATCCTCGCATCCTGCGAATTTGACTGTGTGGAGGAGATGCTGACAATCGCGGCCATGGTGACAGGTACTCCCCTGGGAGCACGGCTCCTTTGTGCTGTCAGTCTGTCCCGGGTCTAGATTTACGTGAGATCCGTTTGAAATATTTTAAGAACCTAACAGACTTTGACCAATTAATTTAACCCTTTAAAGTGACAATTAAGTACTTTAATAGATTTAAAAGGTAGAAAGATGATTTTTTTTTTTGTAAGATTTTATTTGACAGAGAGAGCAGGGGGAGTGGGAGAGGGAGAAGCAGACTCCCCGCTGAGCAGGGAGCCCGATGCGGGGCTCGATCCCGGGACCCCGGGATCATGACCCGAGCCGAAGGCAGACGCTTGGCAACTGAGCCACCCGGGCGCCCCACGAATTATCTTAATATGAAAAAAATCAAAATCCAGTGAATTTCTCAGACATTGAAAGAAAAATGTGTCACTAGAAGTGTTCTTCCCCAAAGAGTTACGTGTTTCTGTTTTTACTTCCTACCTCCTTCATTCTTCTTGCTTTCTGTGTTTTAATGTATTCTTTTACTGGCAGCTCAGGCCAAAGGCTGTGGCTGCGCCTCTGAGTGGCTCCAGTCCCCGGGGGCCCCCTGCTCTGACTGTGGTACCAGCAGGGGACTCACTATACCGGACAGAGGCAAACATAAACAGGGACAAAAACACGATAATACCCTAAATCTCTCTGATGTCTACGTAAGCAAGAATAACATTTATTCAGAGAAATAGACAGGAGTGGTTCTAGACACACAGCAGTGAGCCCTTCCCTCTGCGTGTTGTGCTCAGGTCAGAAGTCTCCAGTCTCGCTGACCTTGTGACCTTTTGCATCTTAAAGCTCCCAACTGCTTCTCGAATCTGCCACATGGAGCTGAGGAGGCTGCCTTGACTTGTTGGAAGACGTTTTTACATCCCGAAGGAGATCACTTCACCCTCATCAACATTTACAAGGCCTACCAAGACATAGCTCTGAACTCTGCCAGTGAAAGTAAGTGAATGCTTGTGATTCGGAGGAACTAATTTCCACTTTCCCTTCCCCAAAGAAAGCCGAGTTGTTCACCCTTCTCTAGCCCTGTTGGTCACTCGAGGGGCTGGCGCTTGAGGGCCCAACAGCGCTTGCTGCCGTGCGTTGGAACCCCAGCGCTCAGCCAGGTCGGGCATGGATGACATGGGGCCACAGAGACTTGCACGGCACAGCTCCCACCCTCCAGGGTCGGGGAAGAAAGGAACTGCCATCTCCAAGTGCCCTGGGGTCAGAGCTGTGTTTGGTGCTTTCCCTAACATCCACATTCACTCCTGGGCGGAGAGGGAATACGGACATTCAGAACCAAACCAAACCAACCACCCGGGCCTCAGACACTAGGAAGGAGTCGGCGGGTGTGCTGAGGGGGTGCTGGAGAGAACTGGACTGGCGCTTGGCCGAGGGGAGGGGAGGGGAGGGCACGTGGAAAAGCTGAGGCAGAAGTCCTGGTGCTAGCCGACAGTGAGCGTGTGAACTTCCCCGAGGGGGACCTGACGGAACAGGAGCTAGAAACACCCCTCCCTTGCTCAGCTTTAAAGACAGGAAGAGGATCCCGAGGGGCAGGCAGGGCAGAGCAGCAGGCGTGGGCTGGGGCCTCCAAAGGCAGCCAGTGAGGGGCTCCCTTCCAGCAAGGGAATCTTTGTTTTCCATGAAGCATCTTTTACCTCCTTTGCTCTGGTAGACAGGATGAAAAGTGAGCTGAAAAAGATGAAAGCAGTTTGAATGGCAGTAGATCTATAGAGAGTGGGGAGTTAATTTTTCAGAGCCGAAAAGATAAAGTCAGTGGAGCCAGCAAGGATAGGGGGAGCTTGGTGGCATCTTTTGAGAGCAAGGACGGTGGGTGCCATTGTTTGCCCAAGTACATGCTCTTGTTGCTAAGGAGGCCTGAGGGCACAGGACAGGGTCAACCGGGGTCTCCTCCCTGCTGTGCCGAGGCCAGGTGCATTCCCAGCACAAGGCAGAACTCCAGGTCCATCCTAAGTAACTACGGGTAGCAAGAAAGCATTAACTTCAAACTGAACCAGATGACTGAATTTTAATATAAAATTTACAGCTAGAGCGGTAGATGACCTTAACAGAATTCCCAAACCAGCCTAGTAGTAATCCTTTTCTTATAAACATGTTGAGGTATTTTCATGGCTCAGGGGAACTTCTACTGTAGACCGGCCCCTCCTAGTTTGAGTAAATGCTGTGGCCGTGTACATCCTCGCTGTTCTTACATGAGACAAACGGTCAGACACCTTCTGTCTCCCTTCAGAGCTGCCGATGAAGGGGGCTACACTGGTCGGCACCAGAACATGCTGCTCCCACAGTTCACTGGGCTTCCAGAACCCCCGCGGCCAGTGCAGGTGCTGCCAGCCAGCCCATGTCCCTGCGGCCTCCCTCCCGCCCGCTCACGTGACCTCCTCTTGAGGCGAGGCGGGCAGAGGACACAGAGACCACAGCTCCTTCCTGGCCGGGGCTCTTACAGCTCATGGCAAATCATCTTTTCTTCTTCTTTCCCTCCCAGACTGTGTTGAAAAGTGGTGTCATGATTACTTCCTCAACTGCTGTGCTCTCAGGATGGCAGACATTATCCGAGCTGAACTCTTAGAAATTGTCAAGCGAATTGAGCTCCCCTGTGCAGAACCTGCTTTTGGCTCAAAGGAAAACGCTCTGAACATAAAGAAGGCTCTCCTGTCCGGTTACTTCATGCAGGTGAGAATGGGGATGGGATGGCAGCCTTCAGTTTGGTCTTTCCAGAATGTCACGTGTTCGGGACGGTCTTTCAGGAAATTCTCACCTAGGAGGATTCTTTTATTGGTGTCAACTTTAAATAAAACTGAAAACCTTCTGTGTTACTAAAGATACAGTAGTATGTATGTATGTATTTGTAAAGATTTTATTTATTTGACAGAGACAGTGAGAGAGGGAACACAAGCAGGGGAGTGGGGGAGGAGAAGCAGGCTCCCCGCTGAGCAGGGAGCCCGATGCGGGGCTCGATCCCAGGACCCTGGGATCATGACCTGAGCCGAAGGCAGACGCTTAACCATCTGAGCCAATCAAGTGCCCCAAGGTTTGGTATTTAAATGTACTTCCCCTCAAGGGCATTGAAGGGCTAAGCCAGAGTATGTTCACTTTGTTCAAAAGGACAAAAGGCCTTTTTTTTTTTATCACAGCGGGAAAGTTAGGAAAACTCGCTCTTTTGCTGAGCATCAGATACAGTCCCTCATCTCACTGGTTTGTGAATTCGCTCACATTTAACCGGTGATACCAATACCCAAGAAATAAAGGTAATGTCTCATTTGCTTCATCCCCTAAATGAAGGCTGTCTAATGCAGCTCCCCTAAATTAAAGCACATTGGGGAAGGAAGCACGTTCCTCATGTCACGGTCAGAGAAACTGTGGTATTTCCACTCACACTCTAAAGCAATCTTAATAGAGGAAAAAATGACATTTTAACATGAATTTCCTCCTCATGTACAGAAAGTAAGGTTCCTGCATCAGTGTTCCTGTACTAACCGAGCTAACACAGCCAGCATAAAGCACCCGACATCTGGGTATGCTGCCCGTGGTGTGGCAGGTGGCGTGCTAGCGTTCACGCCCGAACATTAACGTCTGTAGCTGTTCTCCACCCACTGCCCTGAAGTTACTGAAGTTAGTAACGTCATCATCTGTCTCAAAGTTTTGGGCAAAACCTGTTTTTAGCTTATTTTCTAGATCTGAAAATAGGAAACATGGGTGGCAAATGTGTAATTTTTACTATTTTGAACAAAGTACTTTGGAATTTTTTAAACATTTTTGTCTATTGATCTCTGTATTAACACAAAATCTTTTTTCTTAAAAACTCTACCTTGTAGATTGCGCGGGATGTGGACGGGTCCGGTAACTACTTAATGCTAACACATAAGCAAGTTGCTCAGCTGCATCCCCTGTCCGGTTACTCCATCACCAAGAAAATGCCAGAGTGGGTTCTCTTCCACAAGTTCAGCATATCTGAGAACAACTACATCAGGATTACCTCAGAAATCTCTCCTGAACTGTAAGTTTAATAGAAAAAAGGGAGTTCTTTCCAGCTCATACTTGAGTAAATCACACATTTGGCTTTTATTACATTTTCAGTTAGGTTACGCCGGCACCATTTTAATTTATACTGAGTGTACCTACTTATGGTTTCCCTGATCTAAATGTTCCTCTCTTTGGGATCACAACATAAATGACATACCATGCAAAGGGGCTCCTGGCTGGCTCAGTTGGTGGAGCCTCAGATGCTTAATCTCAGGATCATGAGTTTGAGCCCCATGTTGGGTATAGAGATTGCTTAAAAAAAAAAAAAAAAAGGGTGGAAATATTTAACAGCATAGTGCCTCTTAAAAGGAACAAAAAGCTGTAGAGAAATAGTGTTTGCAGGTGCAGACCTTGAGGAAGGCCCTCTCAGAACAGACGTGCCCCAAAGCTAGGGCCAGTGGGGAAGGGATCGGGGAGGCAGGCGGGTACCAGAGGTATAGGGCTTATGGGCCACATGAGGGTCTGGAATTTATCCTAAGCGCAGTACGAAAGAATTCGAGAGTTTTAAGCAGGAGTAACATCTTTCCGTATAGACTTTTAAAGATGACTCCGGTGGCTTCGAGAGTGAACTGCAGGGGGCAATAGTGAGAATGAAGAGCAGTCGTTTGGGGCCACTGCAGATGTGGGTTCACCTGAACGTACACTCCTATCTGGACAGTGATGTTCAAGGCAGGAACCAAAACTAGTAGCTGGATGGGGAGTGGTATTACTTAATAAGACAGAGAGGCAAAGGCACCCCTCTCTTACCCACCCAAAGTTCTCTGGAACACCTGATGTGATCTTTCCCATGTTGTGCTGGGCATCACCCACTGTGTAGCATAACACTAGAGAAGCAAACTTATTCTAGAAATGCAATTGGGTTGATTCCATGAAAACCACAGGAAGTATTTATCCTGCAAAGGCAGATGGAGATGGAAGAGTTCAAATTAAATACCAGATTCTCCCCGGGTGGGAAGTCCCCACATGTAATGTTTGGTATCTCTCCCCAGAAAAGAAAAAAATCTCACCTTTTTGTTTTCAACAAACAGATTTATGCAGCTGGTGCCACCATACTATTTCAGTAACCTGCCTCCTAGCGAAAGTAAGGATATTCTCCATCAAGTAATGGATCACCTTTCACCTCTATCAACAATGAAAAAAGAACAGAAAATGTGTGAGAAGTGCCCTGAGACTACTGAGCAGAGATGCACCATCCAGTAACTCTTCAGAATCTTTACAGAAAGCAAGATGTGCAATAAGTACCGCCCCAACCCCGCCGGCCTGAGCGTAGCTCCGCTGGAGGTGCAGACGTTTAACTTGAACAAGGAGAACACACCCCACATGAGAGTCTTGAAAAAAATAACACTTTGTATATTATTTAAAAATAAAAAAATAGAAGTTTTTATTGAGTTCTTTTAAATTATGACTCCACATTTTCCTTCTTATTGGAAAAGCTTTTAATCAGCTATTCATAATTTGACCAAATTTTTTTAAAAAGCTATTTTGTAAATGGGTCACAGACATAGGTAACAGAGCCCTACTTTTTTGTAAGGGACCTTACTCTGAATAAAGTCACGAGTTTTTCAGTAAATCTGAGTTGTTTTCTGGTAATTTTATGTACACAAAACCATCCTACTACTGTCCATGGGAAATGGGTCAGACAGAAAGATGTTCTTTGAGTTTATCCATGATTTCGTTCATCCTGTCACCTGGAATCAACATCACGGTTCGCAAGGGCTTCATTGGGACGTCATCAAAGGACCACCTGCCTCCCAGACGAGTGTCGCTCTCTTCCTGCACCGAGTAGTTGAACTTCAGGATTGCTTTCTGAACCAAATATATAATCGTAAGTTAAAAATTCAGACAACCTAAAGGCAAACTTATTTACGTGGCAGCCAGGAATACTGTTTGCCATGTGTTTGAGAATGACAGTGAACAGCAAAACACGGGACTAAAATAAGCTCAAATGGGATATTCAGGCACAAATTACAAAATGCTTACCAAAGAGATTTCTAACCTACAGGAGAAGCATGGAGAGCAGTGTCCCAGTCCTAAGAGGTGAACAGCAGCTACATGACATAATGCTACTAAGCGTTTATAATTCTGAAGTCATTCATACTCATTCATATTCATTCTCACTTGATTCTCAATCTTGCAACAGAAAAGTGAAACAAACATTTGTAACATTTGACAATTAACGAGCAGCATGGTCTTCAAACACTGGTCTTTGCTCATTGTCCTGGCTGCTCCGTTGGAATCAGGCCGTGTGAAAACAGTAACCAGGCCATCCTAAAATACCCAACCAGCCTTCCCTGAAACTATCTGCCTAAGGTGCTCAGGCGAAAAAATTTAATTTTCACTATTTACTTCCTGAAAAACAAGGGCAGAGCTGAATCTGTGGTACTTTAGTATTTAGTCGAAGGCTTTTTAAAAGCAGTGACAGATGGGGGCACCTGGGTGGCATCTGACTGTGGCTCAGGGTGTGAGCACATGTCTGACTCCCTGCTCAGCGGGGAGCCTGCTTCTCCCTCTCTGCCTCTCCCTTTCCCACTGCAGCTCCCCCTGCTTGTGCCTGCTCTCTCATAAAATCTTAAAAAAAAAAAAAAAAAAAAGTAGTAACAGACATCCTCTAATCCAGGAAAATAAGTTACCCCTCAGATTTACTTAACATTTTTAAGAGGTCAGGGTGAGAAAGCGTATTCTCTGGTATGTGGTTGTCCATCATGGCATAAGCCACCTTTCTGCAAGAAACTGCTAGAAATCCCAAAAGTAGGAGGACATCCAGGACCAAGGGCCCAGAGAAGCATATAAGCCATCACTGGGGAGCATGGCCTGCCCCAGCTCTCACATCAACCACCTGCACGACCTCAGATAATGGATCTAATCTCCCTCAGATTCTATGTCCCCATCGGTAAACCAGGACTAACATCTACCTCATAGTTGTTCTAGAATGACAGATCTTCTAGTAAGCATATTGAGTGCCTGATCACCATTCAATGTTCATGGCTTTTCTCCTCCCCAGGCTCCACCCTGGGGGCTGGGGGGCTGGTGACGAACCTGCTGCCAATGTACTAGGTTTGGGCACGGCGTTAGCCTCCAGCTGCTAGCAATATGGAGAAAGAGCAGCCATCCTCAGGGGATTTTGCCATAACTAGGAGAGCAGTCAATCCTGCCTATTGTCAAAAAAAATCCTTATTTACATTCAAACAAAGAGATGAGAACAGGACAGTTTTACCTCATAGAAAAATTCTTCCTCCGCATTTGCAAACATTAATTCCTCCTCCTTTTGGTTGTTCCCTTTCTTTTTGGAATTGTTTTTTCCAGCTTCCACAAATGTCTTGCTAATCAGAAGGTAGAAGTAACACTTCCCACATGGCTTGTTCGTTTTGTGTGCCTCTGCTAGTTCTTTCCTACAAAGCATAACACAGAGAAGGTCTGCCTGCTGAGCCGGGTGAAATCCATCAACAAACCAGAACACAGGGAAAACCAGTGAGGCCTCTGCAGGGGGTTCTGTCGTCCCTGACACGGGCTTGATGGACAGACATCAGATCTGGACACTTCTAAAGCTATGAGTTCTACTTATGTAGGCAACTGCACTTGTGATGGACTATGGCAGTGTTTTATAGTAAGCAGTAGGATGAATCCCTCAGATGATGCTGAATTGTGGATACACAGCAAATAACAGGAGTCTCAAATTCAGTCAACATCACTGCTCTGCTTCTGCCGAAGTTTAAAACCGGTAAGAATCTGGATTTTTTAAAAACAAATGTTGGGGCGCCTGGGTGGCTCGGCTGGTTAAGCGACTGCCTTCGGCTCAGGTCATGATCCTGGAGTCCTGGGATCAAGTCCCGCATTGGACTCCCTGCTCAGGGGGAGTCTGCTGCTCTCTCTGACCCTCCCCCCTTCATGTGCTCTCTCAAATAAAATCTTTAGAAAAGAAAAAATGTTTAACAGAGCCACAACCAATGCCATTAGAGCATCTGACAACCGGTCTCCAAGCACTAGAGTCCGGCGCTATGACTACAGTCCTGACATACTGCAGAAATGGCATGGCAGGACAGATTCCCCTAGACTTAGAATAGGCCATGGAGTGGCGACGTAGCCTTCCGAAAACTGCGCATGTCCCTATGCATCTGGCTAGTCAAAGATGTAAAGACTTCAGCTTTCTTTAATAGAGGACCAGGAGAAAGCACATCAGCCTCCTGTGAAACCAAATAAAAATGAGCTCCAGCTGATCAGAAAAAAGGGCAAAACAAAGAACATGCAGAAGTCCAATGAATGGCAGCTGGGCATCAGGGTAGGGTGGGGATGAGAATAAAACTAAAAAGCAATGAACCTGTTGCACGGGAAGCCTGAAGGCTCAGCCTGCCCTCACACCCGCACCAGCAATCAGTGGGCAGACGCAGGCAGCGCGCCCCCAGGGCAAGAGCACCTGCGGCACAGTGGGGAGTCGACTTCCATCCCGCTCTCCCTCGAGCACAGCAATCCCAATCCTTAGCTCTTCTGAACAATTAAAATGTTATAAACCTAAAACCCCTGCATTAAGAAAGTACAACAGGGGCACCTGGGTGGCTCGCTCAGGCGAGCTTCCAACTCGGTTTCAGCTCAGGTCAGGATCTCAGGGTCGTTTGTAAAACAAAACAAAGAAGTAAAAAAACAACAACAGCAAACCCCAAGAAGCCAGAGGCACAGAACGAGGACTGCGGCTTCCTTAGTTATAAAACACCCCAGTGCGACTGAGGGGCTGTGCCCAGTCTGTTACTGGAGTAAGTGTTCGGCATCTTCTCCATGTCTCAGAAATTTGGGAAGACGATGGAAACTTCAGCCCAGTAGAGGGTAAAAAGCCTGTATAAACTCAGCTGTGTTTCCGCCCTGGCCATCTCGTAAGACCATTCGGACCAGCACCGCACGTCGTTAAGAAGCCCACTGTGAAGAAGGGACACGCCTCTGGCAGGAGGGTCCTGCACTCGCTCGAGCCGCAAGGCTGCCCAGAGGGCGGGCGGCGCGCTGACGGCCGAAACCCCGCCGCTGGGTCCGCCCCGGACTACTGTGCAGGGCACGTGGCCCGGGCTCTTACTGGAGCTGCTGATGCATGGGCAGCGCGATCTGAGGAGGGACGTTGATGAACCTCTCGCTGAGGAGGAAGCCCACAGGCTTGGAGGTGTCGTTCAAATGTGTGTCCAGCTGTTCTACCAAGCTCTTTCCACAGCTCTTCTCACAGGAGCTCAGGATCAGCTCTTTGATTTGCTCAGCACACTGGGTACCCTAGGAAGCAAAGACAAGGCTTGCTGTTCACTACAGGCCACACCTGGAGCAGAAAACAAAGTGCTTTCTATCACCTTCTACCTTACAGTGAGGGCAGTCTCCTGCCACCGCCTTTAAAAATCCTACCTGTCCTCAGTGCTGACTGCTTAAGCGTTTCTCAGAGTACCCACACCTGGTTATTTACGGCCCCACGAGCAGTGGTGACAGCGTTACACCAACACTCACACACGAGAATAGCAATTCCAGTCCATCTTGTAAAGACAGGTGGCAGTAACTGGAAAGTTCACGTAAAACCTGAAGATGAAGTCTGACCGGCATCTTATTCTGAGGAGGGTAAATAGCTGGTTTTCCTTTTCTATTAAAACTCAGCGAGTCATAGGGCGCCTGGGTGGCTCAGGTCCTGGGATCAAGCCCTGCATTGGCCTCCCTGCTCGGTGGGAAGCCTGCTTCTCCCTCTGTGCTTTCCCTCTCCCAAATAAATAAATAAAATCTTAAAAAAAAAAAAAAAAAGATTACAGTAAGACTTCACAAAAGCACATATCCTTATTGTTAATCTCGTCTGATATAAAAAGTTATCATGCATTAAATAAAACAGGTGCTCAGATGCCACCCAGTGAAACCAACCTTTCTTTCAGTTAAATTTAAGAGACTTATGAACCCAAAAATCTCATCTTCATCCACATCGTCATCGCTGTCTTCTGAAACGTTCGTTTGCTATTTTAAAAAGAAAAAGAATTAAAATTGATGTTTGGGTGGAAGTGGAATACCAACTCACGTCTCAGTTTTCAGACACTTTCCGTGGCTGCCGACACCGCAGGGAAGCATCGCACGCTGAGGACCGTGGGTCTTGCCCTATCAGCTCACCCCCCCTTGGTTCTGCTCCCCCTTGATACGTTGCGGAGGACTGCTTCCTGCTCCCAATTTTCTTTATGCGAGGTTCTCGATATATTACAAATCCAGACCAGAAAAAACCTCTTGAAATCAACCACCTGTCTGTCTTCTAAGCAATCTGGCGGCAGGCAGCCCTGCTCGCTCCTCTGCGGGTCCCGTCCACCCACACGCCTCTGCGGTGCAGGCCAGCCCCGAGCACTGGGAGGGCGAACAATGCTTGAGCACACTGACTCCTACCACAAGAGCAGGAGAGAAAAAGAGGGCAAGAAAGGAAATGATTCAGGAACGGAAAAGAATGAAATGCTTGACTCCAACGTGAACCTGCGACTCTACTGACAGCCCCCCCCCCCCCCCCCACCGGTCCGGCCCTCACGCTCCCTCCACACCTTCCTCCACGGGGCACACACACGCTTGCTCAGGCTGTGCACTCCCCCG